CACTGGAAATCAGAGTCAAATATTGAAATGATTATAATCGGCCATTCACAAAATATCAGTACTTATAATATTATTAATAATATTATAAAATAACGAATGTCCCGAAAATTCAACAAAATTGTTTAAAAAAGATTTTAATGCGTTAGTGAAAAAGAAAAAGATGCATGTGAAAGTATTTACATTTAACGCTTTTTAACTTACTTTTATTTATTTTAGAGTAATAAATGTGTATCTTCCATGTTTACTATCCTCTATGTTATATAAACATGGATTAATAGTGGCCGGTTAAAATTTCTTTAGATGCAAATTGATCAATTTTAAGTATATTGATACGGATTTTTTCAAGTCCATTTTATGTTGTTGTAACTAATCCCCTGGTGCAGGAAATTCTTCACCAAGCCCAAATACTCGACTGATCCATGGCTAAAGTTAATAATCAGCTTCATTTTTAGCGAGAATCACGACAGCTGAAGACTGACTAAACCTCAAGACAACGCTCTACGAATACGTTAGATCAGGATATTAGACCGGGACCTAGGGTTTAAAGTGGCTTCAGAACCGCTACAAGCATTCATGGCAGTGCCGGGAATCGAACCCGAAATCAGTGGCACCGATCGCCAGAGCGCTAGACAATCTGCCATTCAGGCCCACGTGTGATGCTTTCTTCCAAAATGCATCAAATTAGACATAATTTATTTCAAAGAAATTATAAAAATCAATATCGTAAGAATATATAATCTGACATTAATAAATTATTTGATCGATTTTTCATGTCATATTTTTTAGTGCTGTTTGTGTCAGTAGAGATATATTATAATTTATTAAACATTTTAGATTTTATTTCTTTTTTTACAAACTATGATAATTCTTTTATATACGAAATGTCTACAAATTATATGTTATTTTTTAATTTTATCTTTGTCATAGGAATGCCCTTCAAATTTTAAATCCTTGGGGCGCCGGATTCTTGAACCCGAAACCTGTAGCACCGGAGCGCTGGAGCGCTAGAACACTCGGCGGCCATTCAGGTCCCAAATTTTTGAATGCCAACGGCACGCGGTGTTCCCAGATGGTCACCCACCCAAGTACTGAGCGCCCAATGTTGCTTGACTTCGGTGATCTAACGAGAACCGGTATATTCAGCATGGTATGGCCGTTGGCTGGACGAATATAATGTAAAATATACAATAAAAAATCATTTAATTATGAAGACTTAAACATAAAAAATACAATACAAATAAAACATTATACAAAAATATACATAAAAATTCAATAGAATTCAACAAATGCAATGTATAAAAAATACAGTAAAAATCATTTAAACATGATGAATAAAACATAAAAAATACAATGTAAATAAAAACATAATTCAAAAATATGCATAAAATGCAATACAATTGATACATACAATACAAAATATAAAAATATCATTTAAACATAATACGGTAATCATAAAAAATAAAATACAAATAAATAAATCGCACAATACTGAAGCTTATGATCCGGACAAACAGCTTCAGTCCTTAAACGATGAGATGATGCCAGGAACATTTATTCATAGCATGGAGTCTGCCGCGGAGGTTGAGCCTCTTGGAGACCGGCCCCTTCGTCAGAGGATAAACACTCGTCCTATGTGACTGCTGCAGCTGTTCTCGGTTCCGATAAAAACACCGGGGAGAATATCTTCCAAGTAACTGGGACTTTTGCTTCCTTGGTACTGACTGCGCTTTTCATCGTTGATGCGGCTCCCTATTGATAAAGAATGAAAATTCTGGGAAGTTATTTGCGAAAAAGAAGAGTGGAGGATACTATTTAACTAAATCAGTGGATAGCGAGCTTTAGCTTTGACAGTATGGATTTTTATATATCTACATTTTTGGTGTTATCTTTTTTTCTTTAATTATATTAATTTGAAATATTGATATTACCAGTACATAGAGGCTATAATATTTGTAATACTGATTGAAAAATTACACTACAAATTAATGAAATACGGAATTTTGAAGTATTAAAAATCAATTATCACAAAATATTAGTACCTATGTGAAATAATATTTTAAAATAACGAATGTCGAAAATTTGAAACAGAATTTTGCTAATATTAGTGAAAATTAAAAGATACATGTGAAAAATACAGTATTCTTTAATTATATTTTATTAAAGATTTTTAACCTTCTTTAATAAAAACCACAGTTGAAAGTAATCTTTTCTTAAGAAATGTGTATCTTCCACGTCAAATTTGAACGATCCTCATGCTATATAAACGTGGATTAATAGTGGACACTAGTTAAAATTGATTTAGATAAAAATGTATCAATTTTAGATATATTGTTAAGAATTTTTTTTTGAAAGAAAAAGGTTTAATGTTTTCTTTCAAAAAGAACAAATGGATATAAACAACAAATTGGACATTTTAAAAATACAATAACAATCATTTAATCATGCTATAGGTAATAATAAAAAGAAACAAAACAATTCAATAAATACAATACATGAAATTACAATGCACAAATCATTTAAACAAGATGAATTATTATTAATAATACAAGATAATTCAGTAAAAAAATAAAATAAAAAATATCATATTTTTTATACACGATGAGGTATTCATAAATATGCAATGCAATTTATCTTTTCATTAGCAACTTAAATTAAAAATAAAAATTCAAAAATCATTTAAATATGAAAATCATACAAAAAAAAAAAAATACAATACAATTAATAAAAAAATACATAAAAATACAATAAAATCATTTAAAATGATATAATCATAAAAATGTAATGCAATTCAATAAATACAAAATACAAAATCTATAAAACACATGCATTGAGGTAATCTAAAAAATACAATACAAATAAATAAATCGCAATACTGAAACGTGATTGGACCAACAGCATCACTCCTTAAACGATGAGATGATGTCAGAAGCATTTATTCATAGCATGAGTCTGCCAGCGGAAGTTGAGCCTCTTGGAGACCGGCCCCTTCCTCAGAGGATAAACACTTGCCTTATGTGACCGCTGCAGCTGTTCCTGGTTCCGATAGAAAAACACCGGGGAGAATATCTTCCAGAGTAACTGGACTTTTGCTTTCTTGGTACTGACTGCACTTTCATCGTTGATGCGGCTCCCTATTGGTAAAAGAAGGAAAGAATTCTGGGAAGTTATTGGCGAAAAGAAGGGTAGAGGATATTATCTAGTTAAATCAATAGATAGGAGCTATTGCTGACATTTTTAATAAGGGAATATATAAATCTACATTTTTCCGATGGTGTCATAGTTGAATTTTTTTAAAATTGTATTTGTTAGAAATATTGATATTACCAGTACACCAGAAGCTCACAGTTGTATAATACAACTTGAAAAAATTACACTGCAAATCAGAGACAAATAAAAAAATATTAGTAATTATACTAACATTAATAATATTATAAAATGACAGATGAGGAAAATTCAACAAAATTGTTAAAAAATGTGAATATGATAGTGAAAGAAAAGATACATGGAAAAGATGCAGTATACACATATTGCATCTTCCAATACAGTATACACATGCTACATCTTTCACATACAGTGTACACATATTGCCTCTTTCTCAAACAGTATACACATGATGCATCTTTCACATATAATAGACACATGCAGTATATACACATGCTGCATCTTTTCTACGGCATACAAAGTGTCATGTGAAAGTACGTACATTTAAAGCTTTTTAACTTATTTCTTTTAATTTTAGAAGAAAAGTGTATGTTCTACATTTGAGCTATCCTCTATGCTATTTAAACATGGATTAATTTTTGGCCAGTTAAAATTGCTTTAGATAAAAATTGATTAATTTTAAAAAATATATTGTTATTTTTTTTTTTCAAACATGTTTGATGTTTTCTTTCAAAAACAACAAATTGGAAATAATTCTTTTTGATGAAATTATTAAATCAATGTCGTGGAAAAATAAAAAATAATCTAATATTAATAAATTATTTTATCGATTTTTCATCTCATAGTTTTTTAACTCTTGTTTGTGTCAGTGATATATTGTAATTTTTAAACATTTAGATTTTTTCTTTCATTTTGGCAAACTTTATTAGTTATTTTTCTATACGAAAACTTTTTACAAATTCTATTTTATTCTTTTAATTTTATCGTTGTCTTAGGAATGCCCCCAAATTTGATTTTTTTTTTTATTTCAACGGTCAATAGATAAAAATATGTTTTAAATTTATCGCTCCCGCAAGTTCGCTTAATCGGTCGATGCTTAATCAGCAAATAAGTTTTCCTAAGAACTTAACCAGACAGTTACATAAAAATATTTATTGAAAAAATTGCATGAATTGTTGAACCACTCTTCAACATATTGAACATAGAAATAAGGAAAAACATAGAAATTTTGATAACTGTTATAACATTGTATCAACATTTGCATTCCTGTGTTGCAGAACCGGTGTCTTCAAATTTTCATTTCTTTTAAAATCTCATAGAAGAAGAACTTTTGAGGTGCAAGAAAAGATGGTAATCACTGGAAGCAGGATCTAAACTGCATGGTAAATGGTGTAAATGCATTGTAAATCCAGTGGTTCGACTTGTGATTGATTTACATAATAAAGGGAGCAATTGATATTTGATCGACTATGATCAAATCACAGAACTTGTCACTGCCATCATAGTAGCATTACAGAAATGTTAAATGTCAATGCTGGAATGCATTTATTACGAGCATTGGGATAGTGTTAACTTTATCATATAGCCACCTCCTGATTCTCAGACATGCGCATTTGCCTTTTTGAATCGCATGGTCTTTGTCGAAAATTACTCTCTGCATAAGTAAAAATACTTTACTTTATTTTTCATTTTTATCAATTATTTTTACTTATTTATTTGAGTTTCTTTTTTTTTTTTTATCTTTTTATAAATTTTAAAATATTTATATTTGCTAGTTTTAAATTTAATTCTAATTTACATCTTTTTTGTAAAAGTGCAATAATTTTTAATTATTTAGGGATATCTATACTATTATTACTATTCTTATATTAAAGCATTATTAAAATAACATTATATTAATCTGAAGCAATTTGATGTAAAATGAATACATTACATGAGCTACATGTGGTTAAACAAGTTAAATTATTAATTATTAATTACAACTTTTAATTACAGTAGTTAAAAAGTAAAATTTTGCAATTTTTATTATAATAAATGGTTGTGAATCAATAAAACATAGTAATTAATTCTACAGAAAATTATTCATCTCTAGTTACAGCTTAAGCAGTGTCACAGTTTATCATACGCTCGAAATAAAAGTTTTGTTTTTAGACAAAAAAAAAAATCTGTTAATACCATCAGTTTCATTACAGTAAATCATTAAGGCCACATATGTGTAGAAAGAGATAAGAGTTACTAAACAAAGAATTTAGGTGCCTTACTGATTGCCCTGCCTAAGAGAAACCCAAGCAGAAAGAAAATCCATTTTCCCCTGGCATTTACTGTTAAGAGAAGCAGATAAAATATAACTTCAATGAATCTTTTTATTTAGTTTGAAAGGATATGGCTTAATAAATTCAGTTTTCATATTGAAAAATAAGATCAGCGTATGTATTAACATGAACAAAGAATTAAACTATTATTATAGATGATTTATTTAGTAAGGATGGGATTTTCTATGTCCTAAGATTCAAAATATATTCTAATTCAATTTATTCAAACTTTCAAGAGGACATTATATTATTTAGAATGATTAATTTTGTATAGTTTTAAACTGTTCTATGATTATAAATTCAAATTAATTATAATTATATAGACATGAAGGAGGCAAGTTTTAAATCCATTATTAATCACATTTCTATATAGTAAGACATAATGATTTTTTTGAATGAATAAACTAATTTATATATATATTTATATGAAATAGCAGTACCCGGCATACGTTATACTGCCAAAAGATGCCTTGTAGAAAATTACATATTGCGAATATATTCTTCATGCTCCAATAAATGTTCATACTAATTTTTATAGATATCGTTTGGATGGTATATAAGATGAAATACTACAGCACCATCTAGTGGCTAGTAACAATAAAGTGGATAGCACGAACCTATTTTCCATACTCGAATACATATTGTTACCCATATTTATAGCGATTGGTTTAAAGGTATAGAAGT